TAGTAGCAGCAATAGTAGCAGCAGTAGTAATAGTAGTAGTAGTAGTAGTAGTAGTAGTAGTAGTAGTAATAGTAGTAGTAGTAGTAGTAGTAGTAGTAGCACTAGCACTAGTAGTAGCAGTAGTAGTAGTAGTAGTAGTAGTAGTAGTAGTAGACTACACTACATGCTGCACAGCAAAGCAGACACCAGCACCTGAAGAAAGGCCACGCAAGCCTGCCTTCTTCCTCTCTCGCAAATGACACCAAGCAACGGTCATGTTATAAGCTTCGCTGCAGCTCACATCCAGTCTGTGGTGTTGTCTGCATGTCGAGATGAAAGACAGCTTCGCGAGCGCCTTGCAGCAGGCGGAAGAGCTTCACCAGGCTCTCCTGACCGTCTGATAAATGGAAACACGCTTGAATATGTGAAACATGCCCGTTGCGTTGGAACGAGCACAGACGCACTCGCAGAAGAGCCGAACAGCAACGTGGTGCAAGTTTTCTTCCTGCTCGCTGCGGAAGTAAGCTAAGCCAGCTAAGCCAAACGGACCTGATTTCCGTATGTAAACGAATCCCAACCCAGAGCTGCTCTTCCTGCTTCAGTGTGCACTGGCATGTGATCCGGTCCTGGTGGCCTCCTTCCGAATCCCACTCTTTGCTTCCAAGAAGAGCGACAGCCTTCCGAAGGTTTTGGCGGCGTCCTGACGCCCAGAACCACATTTCAGCAAGAGCGTGTGAATCCTGCTTAGATCTCGAGACATGGACAGTGTTTCTGTTCAGAGCTGCATCAGTGTTCTTACGAAAATTGGGGACAGCCATGAAACCAAGTCAAACCTCTCAGCAAAGAGCAAGCGCTGCCCGTCCACCACTGCGTTGCAGCCAAGGTGCCGGGTTCCATGTAGAAATCGCACAGCTCCTTCAGAAATCGTCGGCCGCCTCTCTGATATGCAACGACGGCGTGTAACGCGGCCCCAAAACATGAGACGAGCGTACTGGCCTTTTTGCAGGATGACTTCCACTGCCTGGTCATCACCAAGAGCCTCCTGGCAAATCGTTCTCGCATGAACCTGGCTCGATATCTCAGGGTTTATCATACCGGACTCAGCGTAGTGTACTGCTTTAGTGGCTTCGGGCTTGGGGTTAGGATGTCGGGCACAGCAGTCTCATTCCGAAAGATTAAGAGTTGGAGGGTTTTGGGGGTTTTGGGTTTAGGGGGCAGCTCGGATACATTGTAGGTTCCTACTAGTAGTCTGGATTCCTTTTCGACACCTTCATGCCGGTGGGGAAAGGAGGGGCGATACTCCGGAACACCCCACTTCGGGTTCAGGCTTCAAGGATTTATAATATACACCGAAGAAGTCTCCATACCCGCGCATACGCCCGACTCGTGAAGGCGGACTAGGCACCCACCCTCGGAAAATCCAAAATCCTTGCTGAGAACGAGCCCTGAACCCCAAACCCCACATCTTACCTTTGGTTAGTAGGGAATGGAAGAATGGTAGTAATAGTAGTTATAACTGTACCCCATTCCTCCATTCCCTACTAACCAAAGGTAAGACATGAAGCATGTTGGCAGGAAGGATCATTTCACTGACAAGGCCTCCAGATGTCAAAGTGGCGTAACTCGACCTACCTTGTTGATCAATTTGAGCTGGCGATTGAGAGTCCGAGGCCTCCAGCATCTTGAGGTGAGAATTCCATTTTTGGAGCTGCCCTGGAATTCTCTGGAGCTCGCCCGCCTCATGGCAGCCCAAGGCAGACTACGCATGAATGGATATAATGCCCTGGTCAGCCTAGCAGGAGTACTAAAGTCGCGATACTTAGGATACAGTAAATCCCAAAAAGTTGGAAACCGGATTAAGGATAATTAGTGCTGGGATTCCCTATACATTACTCTTGAGGATGGAGTCTAGCGGGTTTCCAACTTTTGGGCTTCTACTCTAGATGGTCCTTCGGGCATTCGGATGCCCGGCTGAGGTCCCGCCTGCCAGCTTGAACGCACTGGGACACTGGGAACCGGTGTTACGTGCGATGCTGAACGCTTCAGTGAAGATCTGTGCTTCAGAATCGAAGATTTATGGCGTAAGACTGCTGACAAGTTGTTCTACAAAGCTTGGAGGTTGTTGTGCACACCGTGCCTTGCCAACCATACCCAAGATTCGAGACAGCAAGTCTGCCGGAGAAGCCGCTAGAACAATACAGCAAAATGCGACAGCAGATTCGGTGGTCTGTGCAGCAGGCATCCACCTTCACACTGCCACCAAAGTGTGTCAAAATACCAGAAAGCATGCTCGGCCCAGGATCTTGAAAGCTTTCGCTGGTTTCGGTGGTGCCTAAATTCTGTGAGGATTGCTTTGGCCCCCATACTTTGGTAGCAGTGGGCTATGCAGCAGGGAATTTGATCCACGATGCGTCCATTCCTCTGCTTGGCTTGGGGGTAGCTCGGGTGTTGGAGGACAGAGCTCGGTATGAAGACCCTAAAGCCTAAACCCTAAACCCCTAAACTGAAGCTGAGACTGCCACAAGCAGTATTGAGAATTCTACGCTTAGGGCTTCAGGTCTTGCCCTTCTGGATCCGAAACTTTACTACCCCGAAATAGAAACTCGGGCTGCCGGTATCGATGCGCCCTTCTGGATAAGTCCAGGAGCCAGAGCCATGAGCAGAATGTAGTCTCGGATGAGCTGCATTAGAACCTCCACTCGTGAAGTATGCAGGGTTTAGAGTTTAGGGTTGAGGGCCTAGGGTTTAGGGGTTTAGGGGTTTAGGGTTTTTGGTTTAGGGTTGAGGATTTAGGGTTCAGGGCAGAATCGACACAACCGGCCACCTTGGACCTAGATGTCCCCAAGCACGAACACCATGTTTGAGTTACAACCTCGAGGTAGTGCGAAGCACCAGCAACGGCAACACGGTCACGGTCACATTAAAGACTCAAGGCACTAACATGTTTTTGTGTTTTTGTTGAGTGCCTTTTTCCGTCTTGCAGCAAGGCACTGATGTGTTTCTCGTCTAGACAACCCAATATGAACCCTAAACCCCCAAAACCCTAAACCCTACGTAACAACATCCATACCCAACAAGGCTCTCTCAATCCTGCTGGACCCTACACCATGTATAGATGTCAAGTCTTCTTGAAACCCTCGGACCCCCAAGAAATCTGAAGGCCGAAATCTCATCTGCTGGGTACCAATCCACCATGCCAAATCAACAGACTTCAACGTTCTTACAGAAGCCACGCTTCGGACCGTTGAGGAGATCTAAGTATGCTCTGGAGAAGACTATTTCTCATCGGTTTGTTTGGCTTTGGGAGGACACTACTCTTCAACCACCGGGTCGTGCAATATGAAATCAGGCAACCGGGAACTGCTCATTCGCAGTGGCGATCGAAAGCGCCTTCGGAAAAGCAGCTGGACATCTGCCGCAAGGTGACGCGGGTGCTCAAGGGTATTAACATCCGGAAAGGAGGCCTGCAGCTATAGCTGCGCTGCTTCCCGGGGTGCGGTTATAAACAAATACAAACATCCATCCATACATGCATGCATGGCCATGCATGCATACACATACAATACCATTACATACCTACCTATCTACCTGCCTACCTACTTACCTACCTACCTACCTACCTACCTACCTACCTACCTACCTACCTCCCTACCTACCTACGTTCCCTAACATACATGCATATACACATTCATGCATGCATGCATGCATGCATGCATGCATGCATCCATGCAGTTTGTGGCGTATGCATACATGTACATGTGACTGTGAGTCTATGAATTTCGTAACATAAGATTGGGTCAAGTAAGATAGGATAGAGAGGTAGGTAGGCAGATAGGTAGATAGGCAAATAGGCGGAGGGTAGACAGATTAATCGATGGATAGATCGAGGGATGGATGGATTGGTGGATTGATGGATGGGCGGATAGAGAGGTAGGTAACTGGTAGGTAGGTATGTTAGTCGGCAGGTAGATAGACACGTAGATGGATAGATGCATCGAAGGGGCCAGAAAGGTTAGATGGACCGCTGCATGGATAGATGGATAGATGGAAAGATACAAACTTAGATGGATAGATAAATAGATAGATAGATCGACAGATAGACAGATAGATAGATCGATAGATCGACAGATAGAAAGATAGAACGGTAGAAAATGATAGATAGATAGATAGATACATAGATAGATAGATAGATAGATCGATAGATAGATAGATAGATAGATCAACAGATCAGTAGATAGATAGACAGATAGATAGATAGGTAGATAGGTAGATAGGTAGATAGGTAGATAGATAGACAGACAGACAGACAGACAGATAGACAGATAGACAGATGGACAGATAGACAGATCGATAAATCGATTGATTTATTGATTGATTGACTTGACGGATTTGATTGATCTCTCTTTTACACGATGACTTCGCATGCGACTGACAGCCCGAACAAAGTCTAAGTCCACTTTGGAAGTGTCGACGACGGTGATGCCTGTTGTGTTCAATAGGCTCCGGATTTAGCCGCAAGGAATTCGGTTCAGGTTTCTGGATCCAGGCTCTACAAGATAGCGACATGGGTGACATTCGCCGGCATTTACAAAGATACACTACAAAGGTAAACTGCTTCTCATGCACTTCTACCTGTTCGCGATTATCTACACCCTTGCCGCAACCAATGGAGGGAATTCGTTGTTACTGCTCTGGATTGCTGCTGAGCTGAAACTTGGACTTGCTCTCACTGGGAAGACTGACTGAGATGATACCCGGATAGAATCGGCTAGAAACCGATACAACGCTTCTGATTTTGTGTCGGCTTCAGAAACCCCGTCCCGACACCCGAAAAACAGAAGAATCAAACCCTGGAAGCGTTGACAAAGAGTCTTACAGATGTCGAACAATTTTTTTTCGTCAGAACCATTATGCATCGCTTACACCAAAACAGCCGTCAACTGCTATACCCGGCACAATCCCACATCTTTTGCCCTCTCGGCCTCGACTTTCTTGCAAACCGTCAAACACGCGGTGTGCGCCTCAAACTTGCATTTTACGGGGGAGTACATGTTCGATTCTTTGCGATTTCCCGACTCCATAGATAGAATTCGGTCTTTGTCATGCTCCGATGGCCCGCAGCCATGTCCCAATGCACCGATGCCCGTAGATACGATTTGATGTCCCGCCCGAAGTATGCTGCAAATCGCTATGGCGATGCCCGACGGATCAATCGATGCTGAGGAATTTGATCAAGAGTTCATCTGCTCAAAGATGCCGCATGCTGAACGGTCTAGGCACGGCTCTGGAAACCATGAACCGGGATTGCCGCTTCAAAGCTGAAGCTACCCGTCCAACTGAAAACTGAAAACGAAAAACAGCCCGAAAGCTTGCGCGGCAGTCACTGTTTAGGGTTTAGGGTTTAGGGTTTAGGGTTTAGGGTTTAGGGTTTAGGGTTTAGGGTTTAGGGTTTAGGGTTTAGGGTTTAGGGTTTAGGTTTGGAAACGATCATGAAGAAGCCCAACAAAGGCACCACCGACCCTCTCGCCATCCGCGGGCAAGAACTTTCCGAGATGAGCTCGCCATGTCACGCAACCAAGGACATTCCTCTCCCAAGACTTCCTGCCTCTCAACCCTAAACCCTAAAATCCTAAACCTTAAACCCTAAACCGTAAAGCCTTAACCCTAAACCCCTAAATTAAACCCTAAACCCTAAAGCCTAAAATCCTAAACCTTAAACCCTAAACCCTAAAGCCTCAACCCTAAACCCTCAACCCTAAACCCCTCAGCCCGACCTCGCCTAGGGCTACAGCGTCGAAGCCTGAGGGCCTCATGTAAGGGCCTTAATAATTAGACTAGGGTTGTGGGGTATATGATACGAAAATTATAGTCAGGAATCCTCAGTAATTTTTTTTGCACCTATATTACGGCAGGCTGATCTCAACACAGGCCTTGACGCATAGGCAACAACCCGACCAAGCCTCGAACAATGTGTAATATACGGGCTGAAGGACAATAAGAATAGGGTTTGGGGGTACGTTATAGCATAAGTATCCCAAAATAGCAGTGGGAATTATTTAGGCCCGCAAAAATTTCTTCCTGTGCTTCGAGCCCTTAGCTCTGCAGGACAACAGTGATCAAGGCTCGCGAAACCCTTCCCCGTCCCCAACCCCCCCCCTCCCCCCCAACACCATGGGTTCCACCAAGCACTAAACTCCTGCAGCAGAGCTTCAAAGCTTGTCTTGATGCTCTCCAGAGTCGGGAAAGCCTCCAGGAGCCTTGATCACAAGCAGAGGCTTGCATTCCGTTTAGGCTGCACGGTGCGATTCAAAAGAGAACAGATGACCGAGAAGTGGGCTGTGATGTGAATGGCTTGCGCACCTCATCTGCAGCCAGAGGTTGTCGCCAATCAGGCAAAGCCTTGTAGACATGGTGGCAAACCTCTGCCTTCATGTTGCGCGCTTCATCGTTGAGCTCCGCAAATTCATGAGCTGGCCTGGCCCAGCCGATAATTTCTCTTGCTGCCTCCGATGCATCTTCCGGCAACTTGGCCGGATACGAATACCAATGCATCTGCCAGAAATCTTCAGCAAGAACTGACTTCAGCAGCTCGCAGGTCTTGACCATTGAGACTAAAGGAAACTCGCGGAAGTCATCGAGAGAGTTGGCTGCAAGGCAATCACTCCAGGACTTGGAGTAAAAGGTTCCTCGGAAGAAAAGAGAAAGGTACCAGCTGTGTAACCTGGCAGGAAAGATGGCTTCATAGCACTTCCTGCTGAAAGCCTCGTTTCCATGCTGACTCTGGCAGTGCTCAGCGACCTCTGCGAGCTTCGTCATGGCGACTCTGCGTAGCTTCATGTTGCCGACTCTACCCTCGGCTTGGTGTTCCAAAACGGCACATAGATGGCAACATCGGAGCACGCTCACGGCTTCCTTTCCTCCCAAGTCCAGCTGGTTGATCCTTACTGCAATCTTCTCGTGCAGCGTGTCATCACCCGGACTCTGCTGCAAGCGTCTCAAAGCCGCCGCAAGCATGCTTTCTGGGTCCTTCTCCGAAAAATCCACAGCTTCCGACATCCTTTGCTCTTTGATGTAAGCAGCCAGGTGGACTTCATCCTTGTCGCTGCTTTCAAGCCTTAACATCGGCTGTGAGTTACTAGGATCGTGTAGGAATACTGCAGGAGCTGGCCAAATAAGCGCGACATATTCTGCACACCGAGAGAAACATTAGCTAAACACCTTTCCACATCTGAAAGCCGGAAGCTTCCACCTATCTGTGCGGTCCGAGGTGCAGATCAATCACATCCGCGGCTTTCACCGTCTTGCTGTGCCCGCGACTGGAAAAGGCCAGCATACATTGCAGTGCCAACAAGATCATAACTTGACAGCAAGAGTTCCCGTGCCTCATGGATAGGACAGCGGCAGCTCGCACGAACCGCTTACGCTCCTACGCGGACGAACTTTCAGCAGGCGTGCTGAGGTGTTGAGGCTGAGGTATTCAGAAACATAGTTCGGGCGACATCAGTAACTGTCTCACAAATGGACGTTGAAGACACTTTGAAAGATCTACAGAGGCTATTTTCAACAAAACCGGCGTCCAGTCTCAAATATCTCCGAGACAAAGTGTGAGTGCGCCCAGAGTTGCCGGTTCTCAAGAAGCCGCTCGGACTCTCGGAGCCACCTGTTTTGCGGCCCTACAACAACTGGGAGTTTCCCAACTGGCTGCATGTTACAGGTTTAGGGTTCAGGGCCAGTTTGGGGTGTGTTGGGAGTCCTTCCAGAATTTCACCAGCTGATCCGACAGCGCCTTCCTCATGAGAACCCGTGCCTGGGTAGGCATCTGGCTTAGGCGGGACGTGTCGACTCAGACAAGAAGGTTGGGATCGATTTGGGTGGAACCCGCAAATCTCAGCACCTTGAATGAGAGGTGATGGTTTGGCTTCAGGAAGACGTGGATTTGGGTTGGGGATCTAGATCGTAGTGGATCTTGATCACGAAGAACCATGCAGAGACTTCGAGTCAATCTTATAAGATGCTTAGCAAAGCACGAAAGACACACCAGAACCAAGTCCCGACCAGTGGACCGAAGTCAACGTTCATGTGTGACAACCCATTTTCACTGAGTGGTAGACGTCGCCCTAAACCCTAGACCCTAAACCCTAAACCCCAAACCCTAGACCCTAAACCCTAAACCCTAAACCCTAAACCATAAACCCTACACCCCTAAACCCTAAACCGTCAAACTCGGCAGCTCCAATCCGCTCCCTGCTTCGTACTGAACCCTCTGAGGTGCATATCACTGGAGAACCTCTAGCCAGCCCTACAAGTACACGAGAGATTGAAACTCGCCCGGACCTTCAGGCCCTCATCCGCATCATCATCATCATCATCATCATCATCATCATTAGCATTGTCATCGTCACCATCATTATCATCATTATCATCATCATTACCATCATCTTCTCCTTCATGCTGATCATCATCATCATCTCTGGTCAGAACCAGTTCAGAAAACGAAAGCTGGGAACGAGGACAAGAATAAAGGCGGAAAGAACGATGATGAGGATCATGATGACGACGATGACAACGATGATGAGGACGGTGGGGACGATGAAGATGACGATGAAGGTGATGATGATTATGATGGTGATGATCATCATGATGATGATAATGACGGTACTGATCTCACCTCTAAGCTGTAGCTCTCTGCGTGCTGGTTGCGGTGAGATTTTCATCTTCGACGGCAGCGTATAGCACCTTCAGGGATTCAGGGTCCTCCTTCCCATACTTACATCAGATAAGGTACCATGAAATATGCTCTCGCAAACTTTTCGAAGGATGCAGCTTTCCTCTCAGAGCTCTTAGACTGAAGCCCCATGCTTCGTGCATATACAACTACGGGGAGCAACGACTGTTTGGCAATACCTGGTCTGACAGGAGCTTCCTCGCTGGAACGCGAAGGTTCAAAAAACATAGCCTTACTTTGGCATTCAAGCACGCATGTAGGCGTGTGTGGTTTTGATTGGTTTTGCATATATAGCTGTGAATGCGCACTATGCATGTACAAATGTAAGTAAGTACGTACGGCGTACATACGTAAGTACGTAAGCGGTAATAATGTCAGTACAAGCACAAGCACGTGAATAAGTACTTGCGTAAGCACGTCTGCATAAGTACGTAATTCAGCCAAGTACGTGCATAAGTACGTAAATACGTAATTCAGTCAGTCAGTCAGTCAGTCAGTCAGTCAGTCAGTCAGTCAGTCAGTCTGAAAATCAGTCAGTCGGTCGGTCAGTCACTCAGTCAGTAGGGTAGTTGAAGACAGTAGAGTTTAAGTTAAAGACAGCAAGTAAAGTGAGTAAAGCAATTGGAGTGAACCAAAACAAATAGAGCAAGTAAACTTGGAGTAGAGTAAGAACAGCAAACAAGGTTTGCAAGCAACGAACGAAGCAAGTAAAGCAAGTGGGATAAGCAAAGCAAACAAAGTACGCAAAGAAGTAAGTAAAGTGACTAAAGAAACAAGTTCAGTAAAGTATGTATACGTGCATCTGTGCGTGTGGGAATGCATGCATGTATGCTTGTAGATAGGCAGGCAGTCATACACGTATGCACGCAGGCATGCATTGTGCATACACGTATGTACTTCTGTAACTTATGTAAATATGAACGTATGTCTGTGTGCATATCTGTCTGTATGACTTTGTGTAACTTTATGTAACATGCACTTACGTATGTCATAGGTAGGCACAAACGTATGTAGGGTGAGTAGGACTGAGACACTTAAACTGCATGTGTGCCTATGCATGCAAGTCTACTTGCAGACGTGTGTACATGCATACACACGTACATACATACAAACAAAATTGCTTACATTACATTACATTACATTACATTACATTACATCACATCACATTACATTACATCACATTAAATTGCAATACATTACATTACATACACGCATACATACACACAGATACACATACATACATAAATACATGCATGCATGCATGCATGCATGCATGCATGTATGCATGCATACATACAGGCATACATACATACATACATACATACATACATACATACATACACACACACACATACATACACACATACCCCAGAGGGTTCATATGCTCTACCATTCTGGAATTAGGTCCCAAAAGACCAACCCTACTATTGTTTTGGGGGAACAAATTCCAGAATAGTAGCATATGTGGACCTACATACATACATACATACATACGTACATACATACATACATGCATACATACGTACGTACATGCATACAATTTTCATGATGTGCACACATACCCAGTTCTAACACACACATATGAATGTACATGTATGCGCTTGCAATGCAACAGAGCCCGCCTTGAACAGGTGAGCTTGCTCGTTGCTGTACTTCTTCCACCTGTCTTCGAGCTCATAGGATACCGGGTTGCGGGCAGAATCATCGGGGGCATGCTCAAGAGAAGTCTTGAGACTCAAAGCCCATCCAATCGTAGTATGCATCGATGATAGACCAGTACGAAGGCAATAGACCGCAAGGAGCTTGATTCCGAAAGAGAACATGCGACACAGACCATGCCGTAAGATATTGTAACACCAAAGCTACGGCATCGAAAATGCTTCTTGCTCCGGCTCTGCTTGCGATTAAGACAGCTTGTGAAAGGATTCTCATGGAGTAAACCCTAAGCCCTAAACCGTTTAGGGCTTAGGCTTTAGGGAGTGCTTGGCAAAGCGCCTATTCCACCACTTGTCTGTCTCAAGAATATTCTTGCCATCGCAGCAATCAGAGATCCAGAGCAGACCTCAGATGTGTGGACCAAGAGACTGATTTAGAACACTTCCCCGTCCCAAGGCTTCAGGAAAGTCTCTCATGATCCGCACTGCCTGTCGAAAAGTCACGTCTGCCGGATCCGACCCCGTTTCGTCTGCCCCTGTGAAAAAAGCGCACCATCGCAAGAAAAGAAGAGCTCCAATTTAGGGCTGCAGGAATGCAGAGACATTCGGAAAAAGGGCTCGGGTTTGCAAAACAAAGCTGGGATGCGGAAGACATGGTGCCATCCATGCTCCTGTCAGAAGCCCAATACGTGGGCTTCTCGGCGGCCATTGTGACCACAGAAAGAATCTAAGGAGCTTCTCTAAGTCCTAACCATACTCGGAGGCTGAAGTATCTCATGAGTCGTAATGTAAGGGGCAGAATAATCACCAATACTATTTCGGGGGCTCCTTATTATAAGTACAGCATGATGGGCCCCAACACCCTATTCTAATTATTAAGGCCCCGATATTACCTCCGGCTCCTGAGTCCTTGCAAAGCAGTGAAGAGGAAAAGTGCGAGCATGCCTGCTGAGCAAACTTACAAGAATAAGCAGCTCCTCTCAAACTTGCATCTGCTAGAGTGCATAAGAGTGCAACTTGACATGCAGACTCCAAGAAAAAAACTACAACACGCCAGCCCCGCCGAGCCGCAGAAACTGACCACCCCAACCCAATAAGACCGCGCAGAAGCCAAAAGCCAAACATGGCCTTCGAGTCTAGTCTAGTCGAATTTTCGGGCCCTTGTTCGCATACGGTGACTTCCGTCCGTCCTGGCATCGCTCGAGCGCCATCTCTCGAAAGTATGGAGCAAGCTCCTTCAGTGTTTCGGGCTTGGCTTGGGAGCTGGCATCAACACATCCCATCACATCAAACATCCAACCGCATCAGCATGCGTTCGGTGGGGAGGGGGACAGCCTCGCTATAACTTTCCTGATTTTGGTATGGTTTGAGGCGCCTGTGGCTGAGTTTCAGGAGTGTTTTCGGCACAAACCGGCAAGCTTTAGAGTTTCGGGACCGCTGTCTCTCAGTCTCGGCCGACTCGGAACTGCTGAACCCTGTAAACCCTAAAAACCAGTAATGCCACCCCTTCTGCCCTGGTAGTCCACTACCTCGAAGGCCGTGTCTTCGACCGCTTTGACGGCTTTGACCAAGCCAGCAGTCCTTGTCGACAATGCAAATTCACCACTACGCTCGAGTACTGAAACGCTTTGACTTACAATGCTCGTCTGAAGACTTTTCTGGAATTGAGCTTGGCATCGGCAACCTGGTATTCTGGGACCACGCCAGCGGATCAATCCAATATGCATTTAAACAAGCTGCTAACAAGCCGAAGCGGAATATTCTGTTCAACGTCTAATTGAAGAGGCCCAACAAGTACTGCTCGTGTCGAAGAGCTGTGCATTGCGAACCCTAAACCCTAAACCCCAAACCCTAAACCCAAATTTTCAACCCCAAACCCCAAACCCTAAACCCCAAAGCCTAAACCCCAAATTTCTCCAAACAGTAAACCCTTCGGTTTCGAAGAAGCCCAGTTTCGACAGCGAGGAAAGGTCTTGGTGGTAGGTCCGGAGCAGCTGCGCATTCCTAGGCTCTTGTTAAGGAACGGAATTGAAGTTCCTATGAGACGGATCTATAGTACAATGTGGTTGCCTCATTTATGGAAAGTGACATTAAGTTCATTAACAAGAACCCAGATTCCGCAGCTGGAAGTTGCCGGCAGAATGCAAGAGCTTCGACACCTGAACCTTCTGCCGGAAAGAGCACTTCGATTCAACTTTCTCCAGTGTCCTTGGTTGCACAAACACCCCACAACCAGCCTTAGATTAGATTCCGCAGGAGCTCACGCAGGATCGAAGCAGTAGCTGTTTCCAATAAGGCAGCTAAGTCTCCGAAAGAGTATCTGGCGCATTGAGTCTGCCAGAAATGATTGCAGCTTTTGAAGCTGCACATTCCGAAGCTGCGCATAATCCGAAGATCTCGAACCGAGCTTGTGCTTGTGCTTTTCTGCGAAATCTGCCGGTATCAAAATACCTGTGCATGAGCAGCAAGATTAAGAACACCTCTCTGCGGGGATGGACCAGCTTTAGAAGGCTCTGGACTCCAAGGTTTAGCCATTAGGATGTAGGATTCCAGGTTTCGGCACAGAGAGTTCAGGGTTGAAGACCTGAGCAACACTTCTGCTCGGACATACAGACACGGGATCCCCCAAACCCCAAACTATAGACCCTAAATCCCTAAACCCTAAACCTCTAAACCCCTAAACTCCTAAACCCCTAAACACTAAACCCTAAACCCTAAACCCCTAAACCCTAAACCCTAAACCCTAAACCCTAGTAGCAGTTGCAACTCTGGCTGGAAAACTACCCAGCAGGGGTTTGTCAACATGGCCTTAAGCAGAACGATCGGCTGTCAACACCCACTTAAAGAATCATGGGACTTAGGAACTAAGGTTATTACTAGGGTAACTACACTTATAACTACTTATAACCCCAATTCAAGTACTTATCACCATACATACTAAGTCCCATGATCCTCCAAGCAAGGGTTCAGTGCAGGTCCACCCCTCAAGTGCAGACGCACACAGCCAGGGCACAGTCTGGCGCACACTTCAGGGGAAGTCCGTGGACGCGCGGAAGCGCCAGCGTGGGAACATCGTGCAAACACCACAACAAGAATGCTCCTGCAGCAGAGATGCTTCAGAATATGCCGTCAGATGTGGCATGTGAGAGCCCGAGCCCTGGTGTTCGGGTGCCGTGGCTCGTTTGTGCATTTAAGGGTTTAGGGCTGCGGAGCTTGGGCCTGGAGCTACAGCCCGCCCACCAAAGTGCTTTCAGAGGTCATGGTCTCATGATGTTCCTTGCTATCCTGTCATGCCAAGAGACGGCTCTGGCTAAAAGTTCAGGTGGGGGCCACTGTATCAACTCAGAGTTCGTGGCCGTCTTCAGGACTTTCAGCAGAGGATCCTAGCCGAAGCACGAAGCCCAGCCCGTACCCTAAATGAACATACTCCATATCCTTGATCCTAACCCCACTATACTAAACCCACTTCCCGAGGCTCCTGATAGCGTCGCAGTCGTCTCACTGACGCTGCGAGCTAGCCGAAAATCCTGGGCCGCGGTTTTTCAAAGCTTGCCGGCTCATGGGTCGCAAAGCATAGCCTACAATGACCTGACAACGGGACAGTACTGGAGCATGCATGAGTGTATACATGTGCTGTATACATACCTTATGTATATATTCATGTGTGCATATATATATATATATACATACACATACACATGTATGTACACTTACATATGTCTTTACGTATGTATGTATGCACGTATGTATGCACGTATGTATGTATGTATGTATGTATGTATGTATGTATGTATGTATGTTTGTATGGATGGATGTCTGGATGTATGGATGTGTGTGTAGGTATGTATGTACGTGTGTATGTATGTATGTATGTATGTATGTATGTATGCATGTATGTATGTATGTATGTATGTATGTATGTATGTATGTATGTATGTACGTGTGCTATGTATGTATGCAAACATGTATGTACATGTACTTGTACATGTACATGTACACGTACACGTACATGTACATACACACATACTATAAAGGGAGAGGGAAACAAAAACGAGAGCACGAAAGTACGTACAAGTGCAGCATGTACACAGGCCCACTTGAGTTCTTTCAGCTCCTCCTACTTCTAACCTGGATATAAGCCCTGGAACAAACAACCCATGAAAGAACAACCCTGGAACACGGGGGATCCTTCGTCTGAACACGGTTGAAGAGACTCGTGCATGTTTTAGGGCTTAAGGTTCAAGGTTTAGGGTTTAGGGTTTGGGAGCTGCCATAAACTCCAACTGCTAAACAGCTGATTAGGGACTTGGAGTAAAGGAGGAGCAATGCAGATCTCTAGTCTCAATGCCTTGACACAGCCAGTCTGACAATCCTACTATTTCTACAAGGCCCTGTCTGCATTTGTCCTGTTTCTGGCACCGGCGAAACCTACGCAACATGACCCCAACGTGGCACAGAGTATGCAGGCCATGCAAAAACACCTCTGCATGAAATGCGGGCAGAATTTTACAAGGTTTCTCTGCAAGCTGCAAATCTGGCAAGAAGTCCGTCTAGCCCATTTGCTGATCCTGCCTCCGGTATGCCATGCTTCATCTAGGTCCTGATCAAGCTTAGCTGTCACACGGCCTGAGCATTCAACTAACCCGTATCCCTGAAGGTTTATGTAGGGCTGGTGCCGATCTCGGTGTTTCTCAAATTCAACCGAGGCTCCGAGGATTCGAACTGGACCAGGTTGTCCACGCAAGCCTTGCACGCTCGAAGAAGGAGGTCGACGCTTCCTTCCGAGAGCTTCGCATCCTGTTCGTGCAGAATGTGATGAGCCGCTTTCACCTTGGCATGACGTGGCCTTATTGATTTTGATCTCATGGCTTTGGGGGTTTTTGGAGCTCACGCCTTAGGGCTTCAGCGGGCTGGTACCCACAGCACGGCTGCCGCTGAACATGCAGTACAGCGGCGGCCCAAGCAGCACTCTCTTGATCTTTCAACTTTCCCGCGCCATCGTGGTACAGGCTAATTCAGTCTGCCACTTCCCGTGAAATAATGAAGTGGTCAGCCAATGATCGCTCCTGCTTTGCCAAGTTCGAGTCAATCCCATCTACGACGTCCGCCGCCGCGGCATGTTCACCTGAGACATGTCGCAAAAGTCGCGCACTACCTGAATGCGCCTACCAGGCCATAGACCGTAGACCCTAAACCCTAAACCCTAAACCCTAAACCCTAAAACCCTAAACCCCAAGCCCTAAACCCCAAACCCCAAACCCTAAACCCTAAACCCTAAAAACCCTAAAGCCATGTTCCATGCTCTCTCACGGCGCGCTTGGGTGCCACAGCCCAGGCAACAAAGCATCGGGGCAGCGTCGTTTCATACCCAGGATGGCTAGGGTTTGGGCTGTAAGGTTTAGGGTTTGGGGACTAGGGTTTAGGGTTTAGGGTTTAGGGGCTGGGGGCATTCACTATCACAATCACCCAGCATGGGCCCTTAACCATTCGAGGAGGTCTGAAAATATACAGTTGACCCCTCGACTCCTAGACCCCAAACGCATCAAGATCAAGAAGACTGCGTGCATTTGCATCCGGACCTAGGCCGTGCTAGGCCAAAGACACACTGAGGTATCAACAGGCTCGTACAGCTTAGGCGAAGTTGAAGCTCTTCTGGCTCTGTACTGCGCACCATCTTCCCTCCGAGTCGCCACGGATGGAAAACAATGAGGCAGCCTTCCGCCGGATGTCCGCTTTCTGGAAAGCAAGGAACGCAGTCATGCTTGCCCAACTACTTTCGGGGTCTGCATGGAACTCAACACGGGATGCGAAGCTGCGTAAGGACAGAGACAGTCACTGAGGTGGCAAGCTGTCCTGTGATTTCGCCCATAGCGTTGCCAGCTCAAAGAGAAGGTTCCTGGGCTTGGAGTTGGGTGTTTGCTGGGTTTCACGGCGTCTTCTCAAGCAGATTGGAGTTTCTGATTTCTGGTTTCTGTTCTGGAGGGAAGTTATGGCGCGAGGGCAGTACGTGGACAGAATGCCGGAAGCATGCTGTGTGGCCTTGGACCCCGTTCCATGCAAACTGGGTTTAGACGGGTGGGGCTATGAAAATGACCGGTAGCTCATTCATCAAGTCGTCGTAACCAGGATGTCCATCCACCTGAGACAAAGGTTGCCATGAGACGCTGCAGTTTATCAGAACAGACGCTGCAGGACAATATTTTTGTCAGACATTCAGGTCAGAGAAATACCAAATTACAAGAGCTTCACTTGCTGAACCATACGAAAGCCCCAAGCACAACTGCAAAAATCAAACCCAAGCAGCATGGTGCTTCTGGTAATGTCGCTGAAAGAAGTTTCGGCGCAAGTCCGTGCGCCACTCCTGTGAAGCTCTGGGCTTCTAGCAGTCTAGCAGCTTGGATTTGTCGGTTCGATTTTCAGGGAGACTTTAATACTGATTCACCCGTGAACCCTAAACCCTAAACCGTAGGATCTTCTGACTTCGGAAGCTCCCAAGTTCCAGGATAGGTGCGGCATGCCACCTGTGTGGAAACGACAGAAAAGCCCCGAGTTTCTGAGTTTTTTGCAACGGTGTAGGGTTTATAGGGTTTAGGGTTTAGAATTTTGGGTTTAGGGTTTAGGGTTGCAGCGGTCCTTCTTGGCCAGATTCCAAGCTTGCTTGAAGATATCCTCTGCGCCTGGAGGGCATCAGACACGCACATAGCTGGGATGGCAACATCTGCCACTCTCTCGGTTTAGGGTTTAGGGTTTAGGGTCGCAGCCCGTAGCGCCGTAGGATTTAGGCTCTGGCTTCCCGTCCTTCATTGTCACAGTTGGATTCCTGGTCAGCACTTCTCCCCTGTTTCCGGGAAAATCCGCCGCTCCAGGCTTTGAGTATTTGTAGGCTCGATTTTTGTCTTCGAGACATAATATGTATATCCAAGTAGATCCGCTATCAGTACCTTGTTCACGAGGGAATATCTAAACTTCGTCACGGCCCGAGCAGCACATTATTGAGCGAATTCAGAGTTGTGCCCAGGTTAACAGTGGGGCGGGGGCATCTTTGTGTCTGCTCTGTTTTTATAAGAAGCTTCTGACAACAACACCTGTAGTCCCTGCCTAGTGATGCATGGTGGTCAGCTTCAGGACACATCATTGGATGATGTTCTTGGGGGGGGCTTGCTTCGGCGATGGATACCTGCACTGTAAACGGTGGTCAGGGAAGGCCCGGCACAGCCTTCTCTCCAAGAAATGTTGAAGAGCTCATCGCCAGCTTCTGCATGTCTGCCCAAGCCATCGAGGCATCGGACGACTGTCCCTCAGCATCGCAGAGTTGTAGACCTACACCCG